ACACTCGGCTGTTTATGTATAGCCCTAATTCGCCCTAGTACCGACGCAGTTCGCCCTAGTGTGGTGAATTGCGTCCGTGACCAAGGAGCAAGATTTAATAATGCATATTGTTCGTAGATTTTACGCATGTAAGCAAAGATTTGGCGCACTATATATTGGTTTTGTTTTTTGAAGCTAGATGGCCGACCCGAGAAACATGGATGAGGAGGAGTTGATGATGAATTTGATCAACACTGGCACTCAAGGTGCCGGCGATGATGGTGCTAAAAATAACGTGCAAGAGGATGCAGATGACGGGAGTCAGTACTTAGCTCTTGAATAAAATGAGCAACAACATATTGGCCAAGTATATATTTTTTATTATTAGCTATTTATATTATCATATGTCTTATGTGTGCTCATGACATTAAAAATAATGTTTATGTTTTGTAGTCCTCTGGATCGACATCAACAACTACAACGAAGAGTAAAAATGTTCGTGGTCCCAAAAAGCCATTGGAGGGCCGCTTCATCATCTCGGAGTTCAATGTGGATACAGGCGAACCGGGGGGGCCAAATAAAATGAATTTTGTGCACCACTATGGTTACCTTGTACGGGACCGGATCCCGATCAGTACCCGCGAATGGAAGAAGAAGACCAATGCTCCTCATATCAGTTTTGTCTCCGATCGTGACAAGACGTTAATTTAGAATGATGTCTTAGAACATTTCACGCTCCAAACAGATGGTTATGATGATATAATATATGGTGATGAATTGAAGGAGCGAGTTAGGGATTGGGCAATGAAGAAGATGGCCACCCAGTTTCAGACTTGGAAGAAACACCTATACACGATGTATGTCAAGAAGAACATAGCACCAGATTTCACTGTCCCAGGCCCGATCTCAAAGCAGAGGCCCTATTGGGATGAGTTTGTATAGTACAATACGTCGGAAGAGGGTGTGAGTTGGGTGATAAAGAACCAACGTAATGCCCAATAGAAGACATACCACCATAACTTGGGATCAGGTGGCTACCCGACTGCCATTAAGAAGTGGAACAAAATGGAAGCAGACCTTCTTGCCAAGGGTATCACACCAGAATCACTCGAGTGGGGAGAGCGTGCAAAGAATTGGTTTTTCACTCATGGGGGAACACTAGACCAGGAGACAGGGAAGTGTGTTTATGGCGCAAGATTGCAAGAAGCAGCAGAAAGATTGTTTTATGCTCAAAGAGCTACTGCTAGTGGTGCGTTCAGGCCCAACAGAGAGAAGGATGAACTGACATATGCCATCGGGACTATTGAACACGGTGGCCAAACTAGAGGCAAAGGAAGTGTCTCGTGGGAGCATGGATTCCCTCAGGATAGACCTTCCTACAGAAGCCGCCAGAGAAAGAAGGAAGAAGAGGCACAGCGGCTCTAGAGGTTGGAGGAAGCGGTGCGTGAAGCACAGGAGCGGGAAAAAAAACTTGAAGCGAGAATGCAGGAGGAAATCAGAAGGCAAGTGCAAATAGCAGTGAGTGCAAGCAAGCAGGCATCAGAGCCAGGAATCAACATTTGCCAATCTGTTTAGTTGAAAAGCAGTTGCGCTTCCACGGAGATACCAAATCAAGGGGACACAGGACTGCACTTCCCTCTGGATGACGTCACTGAACCTTGTACATCGTGTGAGCTACACATTCTGAAGGGGAATTCCACAATCAAGGTGGCTATCGGTCTTGTTAATCCTATCGACCGAACCAAGACACAAGGATTCATGGGAATATAATCTAAGAAGGATATGCTACCATCTCAGTAGATAAAGCTGAAAAAGGTTTTAGTGATTTGCCTCTTGACATTCCTGGAGGTGATGGCGAGAAGACTCTAGGAGAAGTGGAGAAGACATTCATTCTATGGTGCAAGCGCTACATCATCATTCCCGAGATGTCACCTCCACCTCCTCCTGAACTACCTCACCATAGGTGCGGATGAAAACACTACATCATTAATTTATATTGGCTTAAATAATTAACAATCTGCTCATAATAATATGTCATTCCTTTTTTGTAGCAGATCCTCCCCCAACCTAAATCCAATTGTTCAATCGTCAGAACATCATAGTGCTCTGTACGATGATAATGTGTTGGAAGGCGAGGCTGCATCCACACCATCTCCAAGGAGGTCTCCAACACCGTAGCCGCCAACTCCAAGGAGGTCACCAACGCCGCTGCCACCACCTCCAATGAGGTCTCTAATGCCTCCCGCGCCCCGCCTACCAAGAAGCCAAGTACTAGCAAGAGGCCAGCCCCGCAAACGAAGAACCAGTCCCCGCCGGCAAAGAAAGCCACCATGAAACCAAGGCCTATTCCCAAAATAATATCTGAAGAGAAGGAAGAAGTAACTAATGCATATAAAAAAGATATGTCCAGATTCTATGACAAACTTAAAAAGGATCAAGAAGCAAGGAGAAACCCGGAGAAACCGTACTTCTTCGTAGCTCCAGATATTCTAAGAAAAAAGGTGGCTTCTTACCAGCAACAACAGCGGGAATCTCGTAAGCCGTCCAAATCATCGTTAACGGACTATGACCGCACTCTCACCAAGTCAATTGAGGCATCACAGAAAAAGAAGTGGGCAGGGAAATGAGTTGCACAACTCGGACAACAATCACACCAATTAGTCCCCCCGATAGTTGTTGGTAATGAATATGGTTCGAATTTAGGATTAATGCATCAGGCAAACATACCTCTGGATGTCGATTTGGATCACCTTGGTGAATTTATTGAGGAGACTGGTCTTGACCTTTACCAGATGTTTGGTGATGGAAACATTGAGAGTGCGGCGGAGGTTGATATTTCGAAGAAAAAATTTGTACTAGGCCAGAGTCTATACAACCCTCAAGCCTTAGGTGATCTGGGGACGCAAATGTACCTGCTAAACAAGTGGTACATGGAGGCGTCTACCGGTGGAGACTTCTACGTTGGTGTCAGAATTAGAGACGAACATTGGTTCCGTGGCGATGATGTTATGTATGTTGACTTTGCAGAATTTCATCAACTATGTCACCTGACCTTTCTGGACAAAGTTATCATTAGCTGCTATTGCCTGTAAGTAATAATTCTTTCGATCTATTATTAAACTCATCATATGTGTGTATATGCATATAAATTATCCTAACAATTACTATATATATGCAGATTTACAATGACAGAGCGTAGAAAGGAAGGCTGCAATGAAATTGGTTTTGTTGATCCCCATATAGTATTCAAAGACCCAGTTACTCCAAAGCCTGATTGGAAGTCTGAGTCAGAGAGTAACCTCATGAACTTCTTAGTGAACCAACGCCACAAGAAGGATATACTCTTTCCCTACAACTTCAAGTGAGTGTTAATAATGTCGATCATCTTTAATGGCTCATATGTTGATTCTAGTTAATTAATGAGTGTTATGCGTTATATCCTATAAACACATGCAACAATCACTGGATATTGATGGACATCGATCTGGTAAAAAGTCACTTGATAATCTATGACTCGATGAGAAAACCACAACAAGACTACCAATATATGATAGATATTATCCAGAGGTAATTTCGGTATCTCTAGCAACTATATATACACATAAAAATGATAATTAACTATATCTGATGACGTGGCAAATTTTTTATTGGACAGTGTTTGGAAAACCTTTATTGAGAAGCAATACATGGGAAAATGCAAAGCGCCACTGAATGTAATCCCTTTGAAAGTAAGTCCCCTAAATCGCATCATCTTTATTAATTAATCATATAGCTTTCACCGGATCACCAGATTGGATGACAAATCTTTTTCTCGTAAAGTGGTGTCTGAGGTAGGAATAGGGGAACAACTACTGTGGTTACTATGTTTGCAAGTTTATCAAGGAGGTCTCCCAAAGAACTCCTACGGAGAGACTCAAAGTACGTTAAAAATACACTATATATTCATTTAATTATTATTATTGATTGTGTTACTATGTCTTTATATATATATATACATATATTAATTTATTTTCCTTTAATTCAAACCTGTAGGCTCGATGGTTGGAGGAAAAGGTCATATGACAAGACCAAATCAAAGCAATTCAAGAGTCTATAGCCGGATTTTTTAATGACCAGGTCATCGATTCCAAGGGCGAGTTCTACTTCGACCCAACACTGCCATGGAAACCAACCTAGAGGATGAGAGGAAACTTGTTATATAACAACAACTGTAATGCAATCTTTTGTAATATATGCACATAAAATAATATAATATAAAATACACATATGCATGCATGCATGTAAATATATATATATATATGATGCATGCATGCATATATATATATATATATATTTTTTCTATGCTTGAATTGTGTGATTTAATACGTTCATTGTGCTTGAACCGAAACATACTATACGCGCGTATAAATGTATTATTAGCAGCGTACAATACGACTTCGAAAACCTATTTTGAAAAGAAAACAAAAAAAAAGAAAAGAAAAAAGAAAAAAATATATTTAGTCCCGGTTCGTATTACCAACCGGGACTAAAGGGTGCCGGCCTCGTGGCATGTCAGGAGGCACCTTTAGTCCCGGTTGGTGTTACCCACTGGGACTAAAGGTCCCCCTTTAGTCCCGGTTCCTGACCCGGGACTAAAGGACCCCCCTTTAGTCCCGGATGCTTGCTCCCGGGTGAGGAACCGGGACTAGAGGGGGTTCCCCACCGGGAGTAAAGGCCGTCTCTGTACCAGTGATAGTATCATCATATGTAGTTTTAAATACATTTATTAAAAAATATATTGCATGATTAATTTAATAATATTTATTTAGCATCATATATATTAGTATATATAAATTGTATATGTTTTGGTTAAATTTGGGATTAGTTGTGACTTTTAAAAAGTGAAAATGTGGGACGGGCGTGTATGTATATATATTATCGTCTCACTTTGTGATGTACCACTACCGCATCACATTACGGATCGACAAATGCTACGTGCAGCTGGCCTGTTTGCTCCGGCCGCCGCCGCGCCGTAATCAGCTATGGCGTCGGCCAACACTGCTTCTAGTGGTGGCAGCGACGAAGCGAGGTACCCACTGAACGTGGAGTCGTACCGCCTGCTGTGCAAGATCGGGAGCGGCGTGAGCTCGGTGGTGTACAAGGCCGTGTGCCTGCCACTGGGCTCGTCGGCGGTGGTGGCCATCAAGGCGATCGACCTGGAGCGATCGCGCGTCGACCTCGACGGCGTGCAGCGGGAGGCGAAGGCCATGGCGCTGCTATCCCACCGCAACGTGCTCGGCGCGCACTGCTCCTTCACCGTGGGGAGCCACCTGTGGGTGGTGATGCCCTTCATGGGCGTCGGCTCGCTGCACTCCATCCTGCGCCACGGGTTCCCCGGCAGCCTGCCGGAGCCGTGCGTGGCCGTCGTGCTCGCGGAGATGCTCTGCTGCGGCTGTGCTACCTCCACGGGCAGGGCCACATCACAACTGGAGAACAGACTTTAGAACGATGTCCCAATTTGGCATTAGCCTCGGTATTTTTTGCCCTCGGGACTAGAAGGCCTTTAGTCCCGGTTGGTGTCTCCAATCGAGACTAAAGTTCCCTTTCCCAACGGCTAAACCGGGACTAAAAGTCCTCCAACCTTTAGTCCCGGTTGGTAATACCAACCTAGAGTAAAGGTAGACCCTTTAGTCCCGGTTGGTCCCCAGATGGGTTAGTTCAAAAGGAAAGCATCCCATCCATTGTTAGATGTGTTGTGTAGGTGGGGTGGTAAGCTACGCGCGAGGCAGTGCATGAGGTCTTGGGTTCGAATCTCACAGGGCGCAGTGGTGTGAGACATTATTTTTTTTAAAGCTGGGAGGATCTTTAGTCCCGGTTGTGGCAAACCGGGACTAAAGAACAACACCTTTAGCCCCGGATTGCTAGTCCCGGTTGGGAAACCGAGAGTAGAGCAAGTTCCCAACCGGGACTAGATCTCATTTCCGTAGTAGTGCATCCACCGCGACATCAAGGCAGGCAACATCCTTGTGGACTCAGACGGCGCCGTCAAGCTCGCCGACTTCGGCGTATCGGCATCCATCTACGAGACCATGCACGCGTCGGCGTCGGCACCTGCCGCCGTCCAAGTCGATGCTGATGAGGATCACCAGCCGCGTCCGCCTCGAGGAGACCACCGCCGTGAGTAGCAAGAGCAGCAAGTTCTCTAGGGCGTTAAGGTCTTTGGACTTTACTCAACCCAAAAGACTAGCCTGATAGGTGAGGGTTCTCCCGCCTTATATGTTGTGCTCCCCCACCATCGCTACACGATGTGGGACTAAACCCCAACAATCTCCTCCTTAGTCACACATCGGGGTGCCCCCGCCATATGTGATGCTTGAGATTTTTTATCAGATTTAGCTTTTTTTTACCATGGGCTCTCGATTCCAATTGTTGGAACCGACGGTGACCACCGAGTTCACAGTCTTGGAGCTGGCTTACAGCCGGCCCGGCTCGTTACCACGAGCCTACGCTCCTACAGGTCCCAGGTCACCGGAGTTGACAACATATAAGGCCTTTAGGCCTTACTCAACCCAAAAGACTAGCCTGATAGGTGGGGCTTCTTCCGCCTTATATGTTGTGCTCCCCCACCATCGCTACACGATGTGGGACTAAACCCCAACAGTTCTCTAGGGCGTTCAAGGACATGGTGTCCGCGTGCCTCTGCCAGGAGCCGGCCAAGCGGCCGTCGGCGGAGAAGCTCGTCCGCCACCCGTTCTTCAAGGCCTACCACCGCCGCTCCAGTGACTTCCTAGTCCGCCACGGCCTCGCCGTCGTCCTGAGCATCGAGGATCGGTGCAGCAAGGACGACGACGACGCAGGTAGTGATCTCTGCGGGTGTCTCGATGCCGGGGGCGGGGCACGCTGTGTGTCGCTATGCCGCCGCCACACCGACGACGTTGTCGTTGTTAAGAACCGACGGATCAGCGGCTGGAACTTCAACGAGGACAACCTAGAGTTGATCCGACGACCGAGGACCCGGCGGTGGAGAAGAGGTGCGTCCCGTTCGAGAACCAGGTGGAGCTGGACGACAGTGACTCCTCCCCCGGGGATGGAGATAGACGGCCATCGCCGCAGCGGCCGCATGGGGATCACGATCATGGGAAGGCGCGGCGGAGGCGATAGGTCTTAAGGAGCAGCAGCAAGTGGTGACTCGGCAGCTGATGGCCGTCCTGGAGAGCCTGGAGATGCAGAGGGACATGGTGACGCACGTGTTGCAAAGCACCGCCGGCCGCTTCGATGACATCGAAGTCGACGGCGGCAATGGCGATGCCTGTGGCGTGAACGCGACAGCTCCAAGTGAGGAGGAGAGGGAAGAGATACTGCTTGGGTATGTCCGGCAGCTGGAGCACAGGGTGGAAGACCTGAGGAAGGAGGTCGAGGAGGAGATGGCATGGAACGCCCGGCTGGAGAAGATGCTGCAAGAGAGGGTTATCATTAGCGACGATGAGAAGAAGATAAACTCATCTCATACGTCGGCTGGGTATAGTTAGTTGACGCTGTTCCGGTTCCGCTTGTTCATCAAGGTCGAGTGCGTGTATTTTACAGTACGACTCCCTCCATTCTAAAATGTAAAAAAAATCAAGATATATAGTTTTTACTTATACCATTACATGTTATGTCTAGATACATTATTGTTGTATATATAGTTACACGAAACAAACAATCTAAGACACATGAGCATCGAGTGGCACGGCAGGGTTTATGTTATCCATGGACTTTGCAGAACCGTGCTTATTAGGATTTTGGTGGCTCATAAGGACGCAGCGAGGTCCCGTGAGGTCCATGGCTTAGCTCGCCGGCGACCGCCAGGGCAGAGTTGTAGCTCTCATTCCTGGACGAAATTACGAATAAGAGAATCTGTTTATAGGATGGAAAGAAGAGGAAAGAAGAACTTTAAGGCCCCTTGGAAATAGGAATTTCAAAATTGTTTAAGAGTTTCACATAAATCAGTATATTTTTTTAGGGAAAAATCAGTATATTTTTCATAGGGAAAACACGTGACACAAAAAAATCCGGGGTTCCAAAGGCGGCCTTATTAGTGGTGGGGTGCAATATTGAATGGGCCTTAATAGGGACATAGCCGTGGGCTACGTGACGGAGTTTGTCTATGGGCCTAACGCTCCGTCGGCCAGATTCTCTTGTCCCAATGATGTCAGCCGCGCTGGCGGTGTCAAATTTGGCTTAACGTTGTGTTACAAAAACAAAAAAGCCAAGGTCTACGTCGTCAAATAAAGTGTGGTTTTGCAAACTATGGTTTGTGTGTTTGTTTTCGTAAAACAACTAATGTACCATGTCACACGTTAATAAATTGAAGCTGTATGTGTTGACCAGGCACTGAGCTTCGATGAAGCTCGTGTGCCGTCTTATGTTCAGATTTTGTTTGACAGCGACTTAGCTGTTCCACAAAGCTTATGAAAAGATGCTTTTCAAATAAAATAAAATAAAATATAGATAATTATTTGATCTTTCTTAGAAAGATATATTTTATTCCAGGCTCCGCAAAAAAGCATTGCACCCAATCCTTCATTATTCATGTCTTTCTGGATGCAAGCCAGGGACTTTACCACCTTTGACACTTGGGTCTAACGATGATTTATCGCAAGTTAGGCAACAAAGATACGAAATTAGAGGAGAGAACTAAGAAAAGACTTCGTAGATGAAAAGAAAAACACTTGTCAGTTAGGGTGGCTTAGTATTGATTAACTCAATGATGAATAAATACAAATATGCTTTCCCAAGAAAAAGAAAAATAATCAGTATAGTCCAATTTGACCTTTAGGGCTCTAAAATAGGACTATTAATTTCTTAATAATGTGTTTACCACGGTATAAATTGAGAAGGAGGAAGAGTTTTACAACGGCAAAAATAGCAACAATGACAATGGGCAAAAACCTTAATTAGATTGCTTACACAACCCGTACCAGAGAAACAACCAACCACCCATGACAAAAAGAAGAGCCATAGACAAACATCCGCAAAAACAAAGCATGACTTACAACCAAAGGTTCCTCTAAAGAATTAAACCTGCAAACTAGACCTTCATATTAAAAGAACACCACAAGCTCTTAGGCCTAGACCAAAACTTCTTGAAGATGAGAGAACGGCCACATGTTGACAATATGCCCCTATATCATCATTGGGAAGGAAAACACCCCACCAACTGTGGTGGCCCAGTCCGATAACTCGGAAGTCCTAACCGGGCAAGGATATCTCATGGACAAGGCGTAGATCGACTTAGGGGATATCAGCATATCCATGTCCCCTGAATTGTAAAGATCTGACTAGATCTTTTTGTAACAAATTAGGAAACCAAGCTTACCTTGTAATCCTATCTCCTGACTATATAAGAAGGCAGAGGGTGCCCTTGATCAACATCATTGACCACCACCATCATCAACACCTCAGCACCTAGCGTTAGATGGGATGACCACGGTGAGCGAAGGTGGCCGACCGTCAAAGAGGGAGGATGGGAGGTGGCAGGGTACTCCGGCAAGGTTGGGAAATGGTGTTGCGGGCATGGATTCATGACAAGGAGTAATGTTGTGGATGTATCTCTCCCTTGCGAATCAACGAAGGTTGAAGTGGAGTGAGAGGTGGCTTACGCAAGGAGGTGTAGCCTTAAGCTTGACCGTGCCATGGCGGTTTGTGGTGGCAATATGACTCCGAAGGTTTAGAGGGAAAGAGTATGTGGGGTAGTTGCAGCTCAAGCACGCGAAGATCAGAATCATTTTATAGGAGAGGAAAGGGACGGGACTGGCCAGTGATGGAGCTTCGGTAAATATCGTTAATGGCAGCCCTTACAACAGGGTAGAGGAGTAATGGAGGGGTGTGAAGAGAGGAGTGAATTAAGGCTGGGGGTTAATGCATGGTAGTGAATGATCAAGAATGTGTGGGAGTGAAAGGCCAAGACGGCCATGGCGTGCTTGAGCTTGAGCTTGAGCTCGGTTGCAAGCATGGGAGGAAGGGGAACATTGGGAGGAGGAAGATGTTCGGTGGTCCCTACATGTCGGTGTTATAGGGAGAGGAGGTGGGAGTGGGCTGGCCAAGAGGTTGTATTAGGCTGACGGCCAGCAAGGAAAATGGGTACACGCAGATGGAAATTAGAGAAAATGAAAATAAGGGAAAATGGATGGGGCCTTGAGTTGGATTTTGAAGGGTTTCGAACCAAACAGAAATAGGGGTTTTTAAATTTTTTCACAAACTTATTTTAAACCATTTAAGTTTTCAAACTTTTGAACACAATTTGAAAACTATTTAAACAATATTTTGAAACATCTAGTTTTGTTAAATAAACAATTTGAAAATAGAAAACCTATTCGGGCTTAAATGGACTTTTTAAAATTCATTTTCACACAATAAAATTAATGCAAAGTAGTGGATGCAACACCCCTAGCTAGGAGGCTAGGAAAATCAGTTTAGAAATTATATAGCATTTTTTATTTAACTCAATTAACAATAAATCAACTAAACCTTGAAAATTTTACCAAAAAATTAAATCATTAATTTTATTTAGTGTATTTCTATTCAACCCAAAACAAAAAATTAGGATGTGACATGCATCCGTTGGGTGCAAGCGCCTTCCTCTACCGGCCATCTTCTCCATCTCCAAGCTCTCAGAGCCACTGTACCCCAAGGTCCAATCTGAAGGCTTGTTTGCTTGCAAGACTGAAAACCTGCCGGGCATAGGCAAGCAATCCCAGGAGCACGATTTCATCGGCCTGAGGTCACGATCGCTGCCTGGACCAGCAGCTGCCTGCCAGGCACCATCCAAACACGCCCTCATTGCCGAGATCCAGCCATGGAAGCCTCCGTAGGGGAGGTAAGGAAAATAGTGAAAACTGATGTGCCAAACGGTAAGCTTCTCCTCGCTCAAACTTCTCTTCCAAGCAGCTGTTGTTGGTAGCTGGAGAAAAGCTGACTTTTCCTAGAATTTAAGCCTTTCCAAACAACACCTTAATGATACTCTGTGTTGAATGTAAAAACATGATTGCTTTAAGTGAAGAACTACAACAGATGATTGTTTTTAAGTGAAGAAGTACAACAGTGATGAATGTGATTATGTGAAAAAAGTAATTTTACAGTCAATATAAAACACACACAGCCGCCCATAGACCAGAGGCAGCCCATACAACAGTGATGAAATTAAATCAAGCCAACTCTTTTGAATCCCGGAGCAAGGCCGAGGACGCCGACTCGGAAGAGACCTTGGAGTGGCCGGCGGTTGTCGTGGTCGTGGAAGAGGAGCCCTGAACGGACAAGGCGCCGATAGCACGTCCACTGACGGCAAACTCCGACACCGTCCTGTACATCTGCGGCGTGAGCGCGGAAGCCTAAGCGTCCTCCGACTGCAGGGCGTGCATAGCTTCTGCGCGATCGACGGGCGCTTCGCTCGGGTCAGGTGGGCGCACCACAGCCCGACGACGAGCACCCTCTCAATGCACCTGTCATCGGCCCGTTGCCGCCGGACCTCGATCGCCGTCCGCCGCGTCGAGGATTGCATTCCGCCGTATAGGCCCCACATCCACTTGACCAGGATGAAGTGCGCTCCGCCTTCCAGCAGGATCACAGGCACCGGCGGAGACAATCTCGAGGAGGACGATGCGAAGCTGTAGACGCCGGAGTAGGTGCTCGGGTGGTGCGTGTTGGCGAACTCGGGTCGATGTACCCTTGGTGCCCATCACGGCCGGGTGGTGTGCCACCGCGCGCCCGTGGTCGCCGAGCCTGGCCAGGCCAAAGTCGCCGAGCCTGGTGCCGAGGGACTCATCCAGCATGATGTTGCTGGGCTTGATGTCGCCGTGCACCACGCACTGCTCCCACTCCTGGTGGAGATACCGTAGCGCGGATCCCAAGCCAAGGATGATCTGGTACCTACGTATACAATAAAATCTATCAGCAAGAGGTGGACCATTTATATTACTAACTCTATATGTATTACTGCTAATACCAGCCTACATGCGTTAATTTTATAGGCTAATAAAAAGTAAATCTTAAAAATTCATACGACAACCGGAAATATATATCCAGCCATCTGTTGGGTCATTCGGCATACTCGATCTAATCGTCATTATTAACAATAATAGCTATTACGTTTGTTCCATCTTCTAAAACATTACCCCACACCTATCATTATAAAATGGTCTAACTAAATTACCTACCTGCCATTATTATGTAAAAAACTTAAAGTGAGCATTAATCTTAATCTAAAGTACCAGCCAATATACAAAATAATCCCTAAATATGCATGTACCACCTCTACTGTTAGAAACAACATAATGTAAACCATAAATCTAAATTACCTACATCTATCATTACAAAATCCGTAAATATAGAAAAAATCAACTCAAGTTATGCATGACACACATATAAGCATGTTGATTTCGAAACCAGATACATAGTTAAAGCTAAGGTTTTAACTAAATGCGTGTCGAGTACACATAGAATAATGCTATGCAAAGGTGGAAAATATTAATGGGGTGACAAACTATATAAGTCTACCACAAGAAGATAAAGATAAGAAAGCAGCTATATTTGTATTCTATTACAATTAGGCTAAATAGTCATTTAGCCCATTTAAGCATCATTTAAATGCTGCATGGTTGTTCCCCATTTTCTTTCCATTTAATCAACCGTTTATTTCATTTAAAAGCGCCATTTTGACCGTTTAGCCTGAATAATGGCTAAACAATGGGTGATCGACTCTCTATCATTTAGTGTTTATGAAAACAGTGATTATAATACGAACACATGAGAGAGTATCAACTTAACACAAGTCAAATACACATAGAAGTGCGATGCAAAGACTGGAAAGAATGAATAAGGATGGTAAAATATATGATGTAATTGTAGTTAATGCCTATCACAGCATGATAAAAGAAAAGAAAGTATTTAAGAGTATTATATTGGAATATGTATGAACATATGAGAGATAATTTCAACTAAACATATGCCGAACACACATCAAGATGTGATCCAAAGTGGATAATTATAAATTGTGATAGAAAATTATATAGAGCACTTGGTAACTAAAGTCTATATATCACAACCGAATACAACTAAGAAAGTATCCATATGAGTATTATGTTAGAATATGAACAAATAAGAGAAAGCAAAGATGGACAGTTTGATTAATCGCGGACCATAAATTTATACATAAATATCTAATACTTATAATCTATTAAAATTGTTGACTCGTGCGGCAACATGGCTTGATGGAATAGTATTACATCCATGTTAATAAATTATAAAAGTTCTCTCACAAAAATTAGAAACAAACAGTGATCAATTCAACAGACTGCAATCACAGTCGAGATATTAGCCATTGGACCTATTCACAACAGACTGCAATCGCAATCACAATCACAATCACCCACCACTGCTAACTCTCCAACATTCATTTAAGTTAGCCACATATACCATTACAAATATAATTTGAAGTAACTCTCAAATTTATATCTAAAATAGCCACCTCAGTCGTCATTATTAAAAATAACCTAAAGTAATCTTAACAACAACATGATGAAAACTAATTAAAGAAGCCTCAAAATTAGCATAAATTAACCCTCCATATTTGCATCTAAATTATCTGCCATTTTTACAAAAATATCCCAAAGTATTTATATGTGTGCTTCTAAATTATAAATTTCTACCATCATTCATATTTAAAAAACTAACTCAAGACACACATGCATTATGCGCGGCATCATTTACATCACATATGCATATATATTTGACGTCAAACACATAGTTTGAGCTAAAATTTCAACTAAACACATATTAAATAAACATGAAGATGTGATAAGGGAACAAACTACAAATATGGATAAAAAAATATAGAGTAATTTTGGTAACAAGAAATTATTACAACAGGACAAAATTAAAGAAGGATGTACTATATCTATATAAATGTGGACAAATTAGAGGAGCAAATATAAACAACTTTAATTTGATAACCTTTTCTAACACTTTATATGTCGTTTATTATTACTAGTCTATGCATGATAATTAACTACTTGGATGATTACATGGTTTATTTACCTTTCTGGCCACGTCAGAAAGCTCTCGCTGTCGCTGCTGTGGAGATGCCTGTCGAGGCTGCCTTTGGCCACCAGCTCGTAGACAAGCAGGAGGCCGTTGCGACGACTGTCGCACCAGCCCAGGAGCTGCACGAGATTGCGATGCTTCAGGCGGCTGATGATCCTCACCTCCGCCTCGAACTCCTTCCTCCCCTGCGCCGACGACTCCGACGAGAACATCTTGATGGCCACTGGGCGCTCTTCACCAGAGACGGCAAGCTTGCCCCGGTAGACGCTCCCGAAGCCTCCACGACCGAGCTTGCCATCCTCGGCGAAGTTGTCGGTGGCGGCGGCCAGGTCGCGGTACGCATACCGACGGGGGCCGCTGGCAGCCACTCCTCTCTCGAGCTCGGCCCTGCTGCTGTCGTCTTGTTCTTGGTAATCGTTGTCGTCGTCGCTGGTTCCATTTGATGGTGGCATTCCTCTTCCTCCCGACGATCTTCTTCTCTTGCGTTTATGCTGCCATACCAGCACGGCTGCACACACCAATAGAAATAGCAGAGGCACTAGCACGGCGACTATCACGGTTCCTACTGATCTCGGCGGCGGTGCCGGTGGTTCCTGCAGAGTGGATGTGAATGACCATGACAGTATCTTGTTCATCTCGCCGGCGTGGCCCGTCGCCGCTGAGAATCCCACGGCGACACGCTCTGGCAGGTAGCTCCTCAGATCAACGGTCGTGTTGACGTTGTACGATGTGCCGTTGATGACGAGTTGGACGGCGAGCAACTTGGTGACGTTGACGTACCTCACGGTTGCCGTCATCACGGAGGACGTGAGGTTCTTGGTCGGCGAGGTAGTGTCCTTGGTTGCCGTGGAGTTGACGGAGTTGACGTCGATGGCCACATGGCTGTCGCTGATATCAGCGTTTTCTGGATTCAGAGTGGTGTCGAACTCGACGGCGACGATGGTGCCGTCGCCGGTGCCGTTGGTGTAGTGCGTGAGGAGGCCCAAGCTGCCCCCTGTGCTGTTGCTCGGGATATCTGACGCAAAATGCCCGAGGAAGAACGCCATCCCATCACCAGTGTACGACCTCGGGTCCCGAATGATCTGGAAGGAGAAGGTGGTAGTGAAGCTGGCCGTCTCGCTGGTGGCTCCATCCCACAGCGGCACTGGCTTCGTGTACTTGGCTCGGCCGACGCTGAATTCGGTGCTCTGGTCAAACCAGCTACCTGCATAGTTTTAAGTAGCAGACTAAGGTGTTTAGCGGTATACCTCTAAATCGGCTAATAGCGGGGCTAAATTAGGCTATAGCGGGATATAGCGGCTAAATTGTACATGAAGACAAATAGCGGCACTCTGCCTTAAAAGGCTATAGCGGCAGCTATAGCGGGAGATTTAAAACATACTTACGTGTCAGCACAAGTGTATCTTGAGCGAGCATGGCGTCGCCGGTGCAGTTTATCAGCTGAGACAGACCAGGGCTTTGGGGTTGGGAGAAGCTGAGGTTGAAGGACAGGGAGCCAACGCGAGGGACATGGATGGCGGCATGCATCAAGAAGCAGTAGTAGACGCACGAGGACAAGACGAGGAAGGGGGGACGAGAGCTCACTGTCACTGCGGCCATGGTTATGTGATGTGTGTTGGGAACAAAGATGATCATATATATATATATATATATATATATATATATTTGAACGCGTAAGAGTATCTACCAACTACGGAGTACTCACACTATCATTATACGATCGAGAGTAATGGCGAGCCGATTTTTGGGGTGGTTTCCTGCGAAGATTCTTCCTAGCTAGTGACACTCACTGGCCCAGACAGCGAGAAAGCAAAAAAGACTTGAACAAAGCATCCTCGAGAGGACAGAAACAGCCCTACCAGTGACAATGCCTTAGGCAGCTGAGCTAAGCAAATAGACTTGACCATAAAGCAGTCCTCCAGCAAAAGAAAGAAACAGCCCTATCAATGACACTGCTTCGGCGTGCGTGGTACGCTATGCGCCTAGATACGGATACAGATACGATACGAGTATCGGATACGATACAATACGTTCTGACAAGCGGATACACGTTAAGAAAAAAAGGATTGACACCAGGAATTATAAATCGTACTGATTTTTCTAGAGAAATTAGCTATTTGTCATTTCAAAGAGCGGGCTTCAGAACTTTACCATTCTAAACAATGACTTTGCAAAATTGGCAACAAGAAGATGTAATCTATTGTCATAATCCCTATTCAACTCCTTTTTTATGTCTTCTTCTAAACCCAGACATCCAGTACTGGAGTACGGGAGGGGAAAAGACACGGCGATGAGAGGAGCTTACTTGAGCTTGCAGGCCTCGGTGCCGAGGGATTCTTGCCAGAGTCTGTACTGGCGCTCAACGGGTGCGAGGGACTCGATTTGGATTCGCGGAGCAAGGGAGCCGCCTGAGGGGCCGAATGCTGATGCTGAACGGAGCAGTGTCGGGGTCCATGTGGTCTGATTCTCGCCAGAGATGGAGGCTGGAGCTCGCCACCTCGCCGCCGGCCGCCGGCTCTAGGGGGCAACAAAAGAGGGACGGAGAGGGAACGAGGGATGCACGGGGCAGTGACAGTGGGCTGTTCTTTCTACTTGGGCCGTAACCAATCTAGCCCAAACGTAACTGATACGAGTATTCGATCCAATACGTGCCTAAATTCGTAGATACGGTCTAGGTACGTATCTGACAAGTATTTGGGGGACGTATTCACGTGAAGATAACTTTGTTTTTTGAGAATCACGAGAAGATAACTTCATTTTCCACGGATATGGTAGTTCTGGCCACTTGTCGAGGACTTGCCAATTCCCACGGTCTAGGTAAAAAGCTAAGAGAATTTCATTTTCCACAGATCCAAGGCGGATTCGGATTTTATGTTTTTAGATGGTGACACACAGCGACATAAAGTTTATATTTCTACAGGTTCAACGAGTCTTCCAAGCCTTTATGATTCATTGTTCAGGTAATTCGGCTAGAATTATGTTGGGAATTTCTTTTCTGCAATACGAACCACTGGTTCACGCAACCGTGTTACTGCAAGCATTAGTGACGCATCCATTTCCACGGGCCCGCCCATTACCACAACTTCTGCAGTCGCAATCCGGGTTTATCCAAAAGAAATGTCACCAATGTTTTCCTGCTTGAAGCCATCCACAAACATTAGTTTGCTGCAGCTAGGGAGGCTGCAACCAGAGATGCAAGACAAAAAAAATCACCATGGATCGTATTATAATTCCTGGTAAAATATCGACCACGGATGTAAAGTTTTTCACATGTATATGTCCTGATGCCAATAGCCTTGAGAACAATCCAAACTGCCAGCTATGCAACGGTCAATGAACTAAAACAAATCCCATTCGTTTTTGCAAAGGCTCTCCCGTCAGAAAGCAAGTTGGGCACCAATCTCAAGCAGTGTTTTAAATCTCCGGCTAAGCCTCTTAACTACTGAAAGTGCAGCTATAGTCGGAGATAGCTGCAGCTAAGCCATTTAGCTGTTTTTACAAGAAAAAAGAAAAAGAAAAGAAAAAGAAAACACACACAAGATGTTGGCATAACTTGATAACCATTACTAATTGATTCATAACCAGTTCATAAGAGAGATATCAGGTAACAAATATTGACAACTTGTTCACATATAGTACGATCTACGACATACAAGCGAAAAAAGAGAGGAGATGTGAGCACCGAGCAGAGAAGAAGCTTGCCAGATCGCTGTGCCATGGCGTCGCCGTTGGTGCTGCTGCTTCAGTGCTTCAACGCTCAGCTGCTTCAGTGCTTCAATGCTCAGCCTCCGTGACGCTGCTTAGATGCCTCCATCGGAAGCCGCCACCGCCGCCAGTCAGTCGCTCTGCTCGAAGCAGCAGCCTCCGCCAGTCGCCTCAGCGACGCGGCCGCCGATGGGCACAGCCGCCACCGCCGCCGCCGGTCGCTCCGTTCGAAGCTGCCGCCGCTGAAGGGCACAGCCGCCGCCTCCTCCTCTTTTCTGTAGAGCTGGAGAGCGAGCGCTGGATACTGGAGAGATAGTGACTGCTGAGCTAGGGTTACGTACTGGTGTTGGGCCAGTTGGGACGGTTTACTTCTTGGGCTAGGTTTTGCGTTTTAGCTGCGCTAACTAAAGGCTGGTTTAGCAGCTATCACCGGCTAAATGGCGTTATTAGCGCCTCAGCTTTGTTAGCACAAAAAAAAATGAATCTCTTAGCTGCTCCCATCCCCAGCAGCTATCTCAACACGGTGGGTTTCTAGACAACCAGAATGACTATACTGAATCCCTGTCACTGTATCAGTAGATAACCAGTACATATACAGCCATATTTCTTCCATGGTTTCAGCTCAAAGCATCGACATATTTCCTACCGGCCACCTTAAACACAGGCAGCAGGATACAGCTGCCAGCCAAACATGGCACTGTAACTCTTGGTAGAATGTTCGCCTCGCTTGCTACAGTACCGATAGGACAAACAAAAAATGACAAGCTTCAGCCACGCTGTTTCTTCGAGCTAGGTAAATCATCATCGTAGTGAGTAGTGACCGCCATCTTCCGCCCCATCTTTCTCGCCCTTCTTCCTAGCCAGGATCTTGTTGATCTTGTGGAGGTCATTCGTGAGCTTCTGGTCCTTGTTCTGCTTCCTGGTCTTCCTGCCGTCCTGCATCTTCACCCCAAACTAGAAGGCAGCCTTCGGCATGGCTTCTTTCTGATCGTTGTACTTGGCCCACTCCTCTTCAGTCTCAATCACTACGGGATACTGATTAATTACCGAGTGTGATAAACACTCGGCAAATATGGAGAAACACTCGGTAAATTTTTTACCGAGTGCCACACTCGGTAAACATGACTCGGTAAACAACGACTCGGTAAAGTTAGTTTACCGAGTGTCAACTAACGGGGCACTCGGAGAATAAATATTACCGAAAGTGCTACGCCGCTTTTCGGTAAAAACAACTCACTGACGTGACGGTCGTCAGTCCCCAAGCTCGCCGTTAATCTAGGCGTCGTTTATGAAAGTGTTAGACATAGCACTTTTCGGTAAGCAGATAACCATTTTCATGATTAAAACAATTCAAATATTTTTCCTAATATAGTTTTACCGAGTGTACCGGTAGAATACTCGGTAAACATGTAACTTCGTTAACCGAGTGTTCCACTCGGTAAAAAATGGCACATATATCCGAGTGGGGTCGTGGCACTTTCGGTAAAAATGGCACCACTCGGCAAAATTATGAATCGAGAAACAATTTGGTTACATTCTCTCATTTTACCGAGGTAACACACTGATAAACATGACCATTACCGAGTGTAACACTCGGTAAAAACTTGTCACTGATATTTTTTTTGTTTGTTTGATTGCATATCCAGCCACAATTAACAACAATTATATAATAGAATATCACGATTACCAACAGATAGACATTATATATCACATATATGTCCACAAATGTCACATCCACTCATTATAACCAACATATAGCTACAACAAATGTCACAAGCACAATGCAAAGTCCACAAACACCATCAACATGTCCAAAGTCCACAAAGTTCAACCCACTTCTAAGTTCAACATACAAACAAGTGAAACATGGTCTGTCACATGGTCGGAGCCCTACCGAGAAACGGAGACAAGTCCAAGTCTTGATCGTTGTTCGATCCAGCTGTAGAAGGTCCCTGGAATGAGGGAGCAAAAGAAAATAAACATATTTGTCAATTAATCATAAGGTAGTATGCCAAATTCAAATATTCCTTCGAAAGACCAGTTAACAGTGACATCAATATATAGGCATATAATAGATAACACATATCAAGTTAGTTGCTGTTTAGGTCTCCTCTATGTGCAAGATATCGTCACACATGGTCGAGTAGACTGAACATGAATTGGGCAAACACCTATGTACTCATGTAGAACCTAACATGATGCCTTTCAAGGTCTGAACAATATTACTAATAATCTAACTTATACATGTATGTATCCTACTCTCTTCTAGGTTCTAACATGATAGTGTTGACTGTAGCACAATCTGAACTGAAAAAGCCTTTCAAGATGAAGAGTGACTCACAGAGAGTGCCGTCCATGGAGGTGGAGGCACAACTTGGTATCATCGGGCGGCGGCGGAGGCGGTGGAGGCTGGCCCATGCTCCGAGAAAAGCTGGCCATGTACTCGTACCAGCCCTTCATGATCGCTGGAAGGCCTCAAGCCTGAACTGCACTCACGCCCTCTCTGTGCCAACTCGGCTGGTGCGATAGTGGAGGGCTGGCCCTGGCTCTGTGAGGCCTGCTGTGACTCCTGCAGGCTTCAATCTGGGCCTACAATTATTTATCACATAGTTAGAATGCAAATAAAGAACGGGTAGAAAATGAATGGACAAGCAATGCAACAGAACTAACCTGGAGTGCTACCACCTGGGGCTGTGAGCGTGGGCATATGGCCGGGCTCGAACTCGTGCTCCGGGCTCTAATCTGGGCGAGTGTCTGAGTGTTGGCCGTGTCTATGGTGTTGTTGCCCATATAGTACCTCCCGTGTGGCTTACCTGGTCCCAACCTCATGACGATGTCACCCTCGAGGTCAGCGGTGCTCGGATCAAATTCTGGCCCATGGATCTCTCTTGCCA